AGGCGGCCGGTGCTTTCGGCGCGGAGCTGGGAATAAACAGCTGCGCGGGGGATGGGTGCCCCATTGCCCCGGGGGGACGTGGAAGGCGTGTCTCCAGCCTGCAGTGGTGGAAAAAGGGAAAATCCGCCGGCCTTGTCCGTGAGATTTATCTCCATGCAGATACTTTTTCACATCCAGCTTCATCCGAGCCCGACACCGATTACACGAGGCGGTTTGCGCACTTAAATCGCTCCGACTAATCTCCTAACAGCACATTAACTCCGCAAGATCCCATTATAGCCAAGTATAATTCCTTTGCCTTTTACACATACACGTTTTCAGGTTGCGCTTTAAAAAAAAAAAAAAAAACGGGCTGATGAATTTGAAGCTTTACTGTGGTAAGCTTCAGGAAGACCTGTTTGTTTTGTGTTTCATTTACAGTCCTGGACGGTTGCCCCTGATTTTACACATCATGCCCACTCTGCCTCCTTGTCAGCGGTAGCAGTGAATAACAGATATGTGGTCACTGGGAGCAGGGATGAGACGATCCAAATCTATGACATGAAAAAGAAGACAGAACATGGGGCACTGCTGCAGCACAATGGTAAGGGAACCTCTCTTCATAAAAAGCATTAGCAGTAAAAACTTATAGCTGGAAAACTGGCCCTTGCCAGAAGAAGAAAATAGATTTTTTTTTAAATAAGTCTTTAATAGTGATGGTGTTGCAGCCATGATGGTCTGATGATACAAGCAAGGTAAACTTTTGAGCATAAAAATCCAAAAATCAATTTGGGTATTAGCCCACAAATATAGATGCTTCTTCCGATTATTATTAGTTTTAATTGTTTAAGAAGTTATGGCCCACGAGTGGCTTGTGAGCCATTTTCATTCTACCAGGACAGTTTATCTAGACCATGCCTACTCCCAACAACCATCTTTCCCAGTGTCCTTGTTCTGTCGCAGGCATACATAAGCCACACAACAGAGAGAGTTTCTGTGTGAGAGGAGGTTGCTCTGTTTGGGTCGTTTGTAGCTCAGTCCTGATTGTCTTTTTTCTCCTGAAAACCAAGAATTACCTGGATCTAGACTGAATGTGGTACCTGTGTTCAGCTCGCGTATGGTAAATCTGATTCTTATGGGAAGCAGCACGTGCAGTAAATTCAGCTGTGTCTCAAGAGCAGGGCTTTGATATGGGAGCATTCTTTATCACTGGTAGTAGCTCTGTGTCACCTGAGCCACAGTGGTGAGTACTGCTGCGTAAGGGAACGGATGAGATGGAGTTCAGATGTGTATGGCTATAGGGAGGCTGGTAGAGCACATGGGTGATTGAATATAACAAGGAAGTTTGGGGCAGGGCTTGCAAAGAAGTATTCAGGAAATAATTCAGGTTTTCCCAAGGGTAGGGTCGTAGCTGGCATGTTTTGATGCAAGAAACTTCTCTGTTAATTCATACGTTCTCTGTGTGTGATAACTGTTCCGTATGTACAGCCTCGCTAATAGCTTTGGTTTGTGTTTCTAGGCACAGTAACTTGTCTGGAGTTCTATGGTGCTGCACATCTACTCAGTGGGGCTGAAGATGGACTAATTTGTATCTGGAACACAAAGAGATGGGAATGCCTGAAATCCATTAGGGCACATAAGTGAGTTTCTTAAATCTGCGTGTTCACATGAGTTTTCACGTTTATTTTCCCTGTAAATAATATATGTGGCTAATATGTTTTTTTGTTTTTATCAGGGGGCAAGTGACGTCTCTCTCTATTCATCCTTCTGGGAAATTGGCTTTGTCAGTAGGAACAGATAAAACATTAAGGTGAGTCAAAACTGGTGAAGAAATGCTGAAAATCATAGTTCAGTAACTCTTAGTAAGTGATTACAAGTGACAATTCTGTGTGACACAAGACCGTGCAACACTGATAAAACGTATTTGGACATCAGATGGTTCAAAGATCCATTGGTTTGTCTTTTTAAGTTCTAGGTACCCGCGATATTTTAAAGTCCTTTAAAAGTACTCCTTGGTGTTCCTTGCCTCTTGTTATGCTCTGACTCTTTACAGTTCCTTGTAGATGTATAAATACATTTGCATTTTGGAATACGATTTGTTTCAACTTCCAAAAGCTGTCAGGTTTTTTGTTCAGTGTGAGAAAATTATTTTTTCACTTGGAGTGCGTACATGTTGCTGTAAATGTGTGTTTTAAATATGTAAAATGCTCTTTTAACGGGACAAATTGGTATTGGGCTCCTCTTGGGCTCTGCGTTGCCAACAGTGGTTTATAAAATCAATATCACTAATTCAGCCTTATATGCAAGCGTTATAACAAGTCATCACTTTCTTTTGCATTAAGAAGGCAGCAAAGTGCACAGAGCTGCTTAAAAGCTTCATTTGGATGCCTTATGTCAGCAGAGAGGACTTGAGCTTCACTGTGCTGTTTTTAACTGAAATGCACATTATCTACTCTTGTCTTTCAGAACTTGGAATCTAGTAGAAGGACGATCAGCCTTTATCAAAAACCTGAAGCAAAGTGAGTTTATCAGTCTAAATCCACTACAAAGTGAAATGAGATAGTTTTATTTTTTATGTAAAGCAGAGTAGACTGAATTAATCAAGTCAGTTAATTGCGAGCAACTTTCACAATGTCTTTTTTACACATGCAGGCAAGCATATGTAAACATACGTCCTTAATAATAATCATTTTCCGAAAGGAAAACAGTTGACACTAAATAATTTTTTTTTCCTTGAAATTTGGTGTCAGGACACTTAAATAAATGTGTTTTGGTTTTACTTTTTTACTTCATATACTTATGACAATCAAAAATAAGCATTTAAGAGCATAGTTTTACTTGTTTATTATTAAATACTACTTGATTTTTCCTGAATTTTGCTCAGGTTTAGGTAGAAAACAGTGTCTAGCAGCTTCTAAAGATTCTTACTTTTAGATTCTCATGCAATATAGAATGCAAAAAACTGTGTACATGCATATACAAATGTATCAATGTGTACAGATGCCCACATAATTAAGTGGTCCCCTGATGGAGAGAGGTATGTGACCGTGATAACAAACAGAGTGGATATCTACAGACTTGACACAGCTTCAATCACTGGCACGATCACAACAGAGAAGAGAATTTCTTCACTTATATTTATTACAGTAAGTACAAAAAAGAAAGGTGCTGGGAAATTAACTAGTTTGAAAGACATGAAATTAATCACACTTGCATTTCTTTTTTTCCATTCCAAGGATTCTATCCTTGCCATAGCTGGAGATGATGAAATGATAAGGTTCTACAGCTGTGACTCTCACAAATGCCTGTGTGAATTCAAAGCTCATGAAAACAGGTATTTTATATTTGTTTACTTTTTAAATATTTATGGCAATGCTGAGTACTCAGTAAAGTTCAATCACTTGTAATGTTCAGCATATTTTATTACTGTTTTGGTTTTAGTACAGAAAGTAGGTTTACTTATGTGCTAAATTCCAAATTTGGGACAGACTTGTTTGCTTTTAGTATGAGCACAAGTACTGTGCTGTCCATGCACGTTACAAAAATGACAGGGTATAGAATTAGAAATTTTACAGTTTTAAATTTATTATCTGAATACAGTATAAAATATTTAAGTCTAAATACAAGATCAGTGTAGATCGTATCTAAGTATATGTCTTAAATATAAGACCTCAATACACTGGCATGGATCTATGTTAATACTTTTTTCAAGAAGAAGGTCTTTCCCTCCCCAAAGCTTTGTTGTATCAGAACTGTAGTGGGATCTGTAGTGTTTCTCAGGCAGGAGGTGAAAATGGCTGTACAGGGTTCCCAGTGCACCGCTACAAAACTGGACTGTACTGGACAGGCAAAATCGGTAGTAAGACATCTGGGATGTCCTCCTGTCTTATCTTGCTGAGTCTTTGTGACAGTTGCCCTCCTGGCAGTTCTGAGTCCCAGTTACCCAGCAGGCTCATTCCTATGCAAGGCCCGAAATAGGAGCCCCCACCTCTGGCTGATGTGGAATTGCTCAGAGGCCAGTGGTGTCTCTAGAACCATAGGTTGGTCACCCTGGTATATCAAAAGCTTTGAAGTGGAGAGGTGGTAGGTAAGGAGACCGAAACAGAAAAGGTTCTGCTAAATTACTTGGCTTTATATAGAATGCACGTGTCTGTTTTTATTTATTTATATATATGAGTGTGTGTAAAAATACACAGAGGTACACACTCCTCTGTGTGTGGTCTGTGTATTTCTGAAATGGGGTACCAGTATTTTCCTGCAAGACCATCTAAAGAATGTTTAACCAGTCTTTACAGGTTCTGACCCTTTAGAATGCCTAAGTAAAACAAACCAGTTGTTCTCAGTCCAGGCAATAGGAGGGTAATCACATATTCTCTGTTGCTGTCGAATACCAAATATTGGTCCAAATGCTGATTTTAATTTATCAAAACACAAAAGCATTAGCTAAAATGTCATTGATGTGGTTAATAGTGTGTGCTTAAAAGTATTAAAGTGTTCTGAATCAAATCCCAACAGGCCTAGCAAAGGTAAGTGTTCCCACTGTAAATGACAGCACTCAAAACAGATTACTGTTCCAAGTTCTTGCCTGTCATCTGTGGGTTTTCTGTTCAAACTGATTTTTAGACTGTTGCCTGTTCATCCTTAATTTCTATCAGCTTACTGTTCTGAAGTGAACGGCCATGCTATAAAGTGACAAAGTACTACATTTTCTTCACAGAATTAAAGATATCTATAGTTTTGAAAGAGAAGGACAACATGTTATTGTTACTGCATCCAGTGACGGTTACATTAAAATGTGGAATCTGGATCTTAATAAGGTTGGTCTATTAAACTGCTTATTATGTTTATGGAAAAATGTAAGTCAACCAAAATTGCAGACAGTTCTGTTATAAAGATTAATTTTAAATCACTGAGAAAATTTTACTTGAAATCTGGATGCCTTCATCTTCCTCCATGTTAGGTTCGGTAGAAATGTATATGTCCATGCACATATTTTTATGCACTTGTATATTTTTGTACCTTTGTGATTTTTTTAAAACAAACCATACAATCTGATGATATTATGGAGATCTTATCTCCTCTTTATGTAAAGTCATGCTTCCCTTCAGACCTACTTGGCCAGACTTAGGACTATCTAATTATAGTAATATATGTGCTAAGGACTGCTGTTAATTTTTGTAATGTTGATGACTGTTGCTGCTCTTTTAAAAACACAGACTCTATGGTGTGGGGTGGAGGTAGTGGTTGTTCAAGTAGGGGGGAAAAGTTATCCTTTTGAAAAATTCAAATGCATTAATGTACTGAGTACTTTTATTTCCTGTATTTTCAAACAGTTCTGAGTAGCACAATTCAAAAAGGAATTATGTCTTACCTTTAAAGCTTCCCATGTTTATTGTTTGCTCTGGGGTTTGTCTTTTAAAATCATAATTAGATTTTTAAAATTTAATGCCTAGTAATAAAGGATCTACTATATTCCACTATCAGTATCTTGGATAGTTCAAATAAATATTTTTCAACATTTATACGCTTTATATATCTCATCTGAATTTGTTCATTTTTCATTTAAACCCCCCTGATTATTTTTACACTTGTAAGTGCAGTAGTGAAAACCCCTGTCTTCCATTCACCTTAGATTTCCATTCCCCTTGTACATAATTAACACAGCGACCAGGGAGCTCTTTCTCTGTAACACTGTCTTTATTTTGATCAAATAGGTGATTTTCTTCCAATGCAGGCAAAACTTTGTAAAGCTTTGTATAGCTCTGTGGGCTTCTGTGTCCAGCCTTGTGAGGTAGAATATCCAAATACAAGTAGTTTCTGGTGGGTTGATACTGTTATGCTGCACGTGTATTTGCGGCATGTATTTTTCCTGTAATAGGATATTTACTCAAGTATTCCCAGAGCTGACTGATACAATTGCAGTTAAGCAATTTGAAACACACTCTGAAGAAATTGCTTTTCTTCAGCAGCCTTGTCATTGTGAGGGAGAAAAAGAATCTGATGCAATAACTTAATTCAAATTATTTCAACTGCACCAAAAAATACCTATTACTCTGGAGAAATTTCTGAAACCATTAACAATTTTTTTTTGTGGGTCTATGACTCATCTAGCTATTCCTTGTGCTAAACTTACCCCAATTGCATGAAACTCCCTAATCTTGCTTATCTTTATGTTTTTAAATCATTGGGAGTTTTTTGTAAAGCCACCACTGAGGAATGGTATCAGGAAGAGGACTGTAACTAGTTATAAACATTGTTAGGCACCAGAAATGAAGTGAAAGGTGGGCAGTAAGATATTTTCTCACTTCCAATACTTCAGTAAATTTAAACAGAGATAAAATAACATTTAATTAATCTTTTTCTGTATTATCTTCAGATTAAAGATGTGCCATCTTTACTGTGTGAAGTCAATACCAAAGCTAGGCTGACATGTCTTGCAGTATGGCTTGACCAAGCTTCAGAAATTAAAGAAAATTCTGATAAAGCTGCAACATCATCTCCAGGTAGCAGAACTGTGTGTATTTTCAGCCGTTAACGTGACTATGAAGTGGAATATACTAAGCGGGAGGTTTTTACTATATGTTATGTTATGTTATGTTATGTTATTATTTTACTATATATATATATACTTACTGGGGATATGACACTGGCAAGCGATATAGATATCCTTAACAATCTAATAGTGTCTCAAGCCTGCATGTATGTTGGAGGACATAAGCCTCTTTTCACTTTGATTATATGAAAGTTTTGTTCCTCTTTACTGGAATAACATGCTGAGAAAGCCACTGTGAAGCTTTTGAGACAGATAAGAAAAGAGTAAACAGTTTGATAGAACTGCATGTCTTGTTCTCCTATAAACAAAATTAGGTCTGAGGCCAACGTAGTTGGGCAAACTTAGGAAGTCTGGCTCAGTATTTTATTTTTTTTTCTGTAGTTTTCCTATATTGTAATGTACTTACATACTTATCTTTTGATATTTTCGAATCACAGGCAAAACTAGCATAAACAGCACATTTCACTGTAAATAAAAAATCATTTATAACCCCTTTTTTAAAGTAAGATACAAATAAGGCAAGGCTCTGGGCCATTTTATACTACAAAGACTGGACATAAATATCAATGTGAATAATTTCTTGGTTTTTTTCAGCAAACAAAGATGAAAAATCATCAATAGTCAGGAAAAATAAAATTTATTGGACTGGTAAAAATGATAAAACAGCAAAAAGAAAGAGAAAAATTACTCCAGAGAAACAAAAACTGGAAGCTCCGCTGCAAAAGAAGAAAAAGAAACGGAATAGCTCAGCATGAAGGCAGCTGCTTTCTCTCCTGAATAAAAAGTAAATGCTGGTGTTGCTGTAGAGTTTATAAGGATGTAAACCTCTGCCAGGACATATACCTCTGAACTGATCTGTTGTTTAAAAGTAATGAATGTTTTTACCCTAATAAATTGATTCATCCTTCTGGGAAGCAGCAAGAGATGGCGACTCTTCCTAAGTGAATGAGGCAAAAATAAATTCATAATATGTAATGTTTATATTTTTCTGTTAACAATAGCATACACTTTTTAACTGTCTCTGAAAAAGCCAGCTAAAATGGTAAAAATTGCTGCATCTGTCTCAGTTACATTTTTGTCTCACTTAAATGCATATTAAAGATATGTACACTTTTTCATATTAGTGTTGGAAAAGTTACTGTTCATTTGACTCAAAATATGATCTGCCTTTGTCATGCATTACTTTTCCTACTGTAAGAAGGAACATGTTAAAACTACTTAAAATATGATGATCATGTTCCATTCATACATTCACAGAAAATCGTACTTTCCAGTTCTAGACATGGACTTATACATAGAGTTTATAAGCAAAGTGTTTGGTTTTTTTACCATGTCCGTACTTCATGCATTTAATTTTTTTTCAAGTTTTTGCACCATGGTTCACATGATTGAAATCTTTCATTCAGAATATGATACATATTTTTAGGTGGAAGAGTTTTTATCAATAAGGTTTTACCTTCTCTTCTACCTTCCCGTAATATTTTTAAAGTCCTTGATCTGAGCTGTATTATTATAAAAAAAACCCAAACATCTAACATTTGAAATGTTTGTCATGCTGACAAAATGTCACCCATCTGTTTACCACTTAAGCAAAAAGTGAATTCCTGACCTTCTCAGTTAGTGGGAGGTGGATTTTATCCTAAGTCTCATAACAAATATACAGTGGGAAGAACAAAGTTGAGCTGGAGAGAACAAGGTCAAATAGCTGTACTAAATGTTCTGTTTCTTTTAAAGTAAGGCATTTTAATCTTGTGCTCTGCATTACCGGAGTAGTCATTATGACTTCTGTTTTCAAAGAGCGATTGGAATTATGCTTTATTCTGATTCACTTTAGTAATAATCTCTTCCTCCTCATTTGTGTAGCAAGAGAAAAGGTAGAGAAAATAAGAAAAAAAAGAGATTGAGACAAATCTGGAGACAGGAATGCAGTCTGTCTTAGGGATGTAAAATAGGATATAACTCCAGCTCATCTCTGTGTACGCTGTGACACTGAAACAAAGTGAGAGCATCATCGGCGCTGTTAACGAGATTGTTGGTGTGGCGATGGCAGTATTCTCTTGGAAGTAAGCTGTTTCCCTTATTTTGATACATGATCACAGCTCATTGTCTGAATATTCAGTATAGTTGATTTATATGAGCTCAGTTTAATTTGACATTAAAGGGATTTCAGCTGTACTTTAGTTTGAATGTACATAGCTTTTAACTTTAATAATATCCGGAATGTGTGTGCACACAAACACAGACAAGTAATATAGGACTTAAAACCGTTTGTAGACTTGGCAGGAAAGGTACCAAATCAGATTTGTAATTGATAACAGGGTTCCTGTAGTAAATATAGGACTTACACAATTATCTTATTTAGGCTTATACGTTGTAAAGTGTGTCCACTTCTGAAGTGTTATGTCTATTTGATAGTGCTTATCTCTGTTCTTGACAAAATGGCTGCCACTACTAAAACAATTTTCAGTGTTTGAATTTTTAAATACATGAGCTTATGGCCATGGGCGTCACAATTAAAGAAGCAAGCTCTTATAAGCACCAGGAAAAATCCATTCTGCAAATAATTTTAAAATTTGAAAGGCTGAAATTACACAATTTTGGTTCTAAGGTTTAGATTAACAAGTAAATATTTGACATTTGTAAAAATCCAAACTCCCTGTGTAGTAAGAAAGAATTATGCATCTCATGAGACGCGGAACTATTGGAGACGGAGAAGACAAGTCCTAACAGCTTTTACAGTGAAATGCAGAAACAGTCCTGAGAGGAGAACTCATATCTCCTATACCTTCGCTCAGCTACTAGCCAGCACTTGGCAATTATTTTTGTTGTTGTTTCTTTGTGCATATCTTCCTTTTCAGAACATTTTCCTTTCTAGTTTTCAGGGAACTGCTTAGAATGATAGAGAGGAGGCAGCAGTGCAGAGAGAGAGGAGATGTCAGTGGTGAGGAAGGGTGAGCGTCTGTAAAACCAGTAGAGTAGATGAAGCCATGGCTGCAAGAAGCGACAGCCTAGCAAGCAGCACCTCAGATCAGCCCCAGGTGAGTTTGGCAGCACCAGGAGCTGTGGATTTCTTCCAGTTTTCCCGCTGCCCTCTTGGGGAACCCCAGTGCTGGATTACAAAGCAGAGAGCCCAGTGAAACTTGAACCTCATGACCATTACACACCTTGAACAGAAAAGGGAACCCCATCCAATACAGCTTAGATCTGTGTTGGTCATGGCACTTTTCAAGGAGATAGGAGATCTCTTTAAACCATTTAGGCCAACAAAGTAATTAAACTGCTCTCCACCTTCTGACCATTAGGCTGATTCAAAATGATGGGAAAACCTGGAATGCAGCTAGAGGAAGCTACATTTTGCAGAAAGCACAGGCCTCCGATGTCTTGTGCCTTCTGTTACCAAGAGGAACTGAAGACCATCAGCTCAGGGACCTGGCTGGAAGAGTGCTGTTTTTTTCTATATGGTTAAACGCCCACGAGAGGAAAATGCCTAGCCAACTGGAATAAATTATGCAGAAAGAAAAATCATGTGAAGAAAGCACTTCGGGGGGAAAAAAAAAAAAAGCAGTAGATAGTCTTTGTAGACAATTTTTAAAGTATCTAATTTTTTCCAGATTAAAAAAAAGGGCAAAACATTTTCTTTACAAGATGTTTTCCATCTCCCACTGTTGCATAACTTCTACGGCAGAAGACTCCTTTTCCCCTTGCACTAGATTTGAAGATTATAGAAATCCTCGACATCTTCCCTGAAACGGCGACACTGAAATTCCTGATCAAAGCTCGGAGCAGCCTCTCGGCTGCCCAGAGCTGTAGCTCATCCCGCACCAAAACCCGGCCCCGAATTCTCAGCCGTACCACGCACCCCCACTTCTGGGACCGGACAGGGTGCGTTATGGGGGGCTCTGCCCCTCACCGAACGAGCACACACAAGTCTCTCCTCCTGCGGGCACCCGGGCTCGCACGGGCA